ACAAACACAAAAATATATTAACACAACATTTCAATAATCCTAAAAAGGCCCGGGCTATGTTTGGTAATTATATTAAGGGCCATGATAGGAAATTAAACCCGGGTTAAGTATAATCTCGTGAAAATACAAAAAATATACAAAATAATAACACTTACTTGTAATTCGCTTATAAATAGATTAAATATGAAATTTCACACTTCGGAGCAATGAGATTTGTTTTAAATTTGTAAATTTTTAAAAGGATTTTGATAATGGTGGTTGTAAAACGCATATCGTCTAGACATGACCAAGCGAACTGACATCTGTCTTCAAAAGGGCGAAGCGCCGGAAATGAAAAACACTTGCACTATTGTCTATGGTACTAGTAGCATAAACCTGCGAAAGGAGATTGCTCAGCTTCCATACATGTTTGGCCTAAAAACCAATAATCATGAAAAAATGTTTCCTAGATCCGAAATTACATATAAATTACTGTAGAAACTAATATTATTGACGGACACCCCTGAGAACTTCTATAAACCATATACTCTGAACGATTTTGAGGTTATGTTTGAAAATAGGTACATAGGTATTAAAATAATAAAAAACAAATAAGTTATATAGTAAACTAGGGAATCAAGCCAAGTACCGAAATTATGTATTAGATTCAGGTATATAAAGCATGTAGATTAACAGATAGTTGCCTGTTTTTAAAGTTAATGCACACGAGTAACTTTTAAAATCAGGTATCATCTATGCATTTCCGGTTTTAATAAGGAAGGTACTCTCAGGATTTGGATGTATGATGATTGTGAATGAGCCACAGATTAGAGAGAATTTCTAAACTCTCGTTAACCAAAGAAAGCTAAGAGATTTAGGTTATACAGCCATATCTTCAGTAGCTTCATTATTTTTGTGATGTTTACATTATGACCATATTATAGATGTTTTTATTTATTTTTTAAGCATTTAACTGCTAGATGTTTAAATCTAAACAAAAGTTTACTAGAAAAAAATCCACGCAGACCAGGCAGCGGACGGGACTCGAACCCGCATCCTTCGCAATCTGGGAGAATACACTGACCATTATGCTACCACGGCCCTATTCGCCGCGTCGAAATTTTCCTTCCTGTGGGTTACCTACAATGCGAAGAGATGGCGCTGCCTTGCAACTTAAGGCTAGGAAAATTTGGCTGTGATCGTTGAACTTAAGCAACTTTCGCATTGGTCGGTCATTGGATGGGTGACCAAAAATTACTATCTCGAGCTCCTCCGTGCTTCGGAACGCACGTTAAGCCGTTGGTCCCGGCTGCATCTGCAGTCGTTAGCACCCACCAATCCGCACTGGGCCCGCGTAGTGGGTCATGGCCCAATCTCCCTATTCCATCCATAGGGATTGCCTGTGCCCCAGCAGCGGGGACATTAATAGGCTGATGATGATGATGATCAAATCCTAGGTACTTCTTTTCATTAGCAGGTTCTTGAGAAGGTCAATTATAACAAATAAAGTTGGTTCCAATAACTCACGTGCTGCATTATCACATACGTACGTTTCTTTGCACTCTTATTAATAAAGAAAGAATAAGCTTGGATTAGTTACTCTATGTTTTGTCTCTGTTCATTGAATGACAAATTGTATTTTGAGTGACATGAACAAAACACAGTGTAACTAGTCTAAGGTTATTCCTCGTTTATTAATAAGGGGGATGTGGTATTACCATGGTATAACTCTATTGTTAATGAAAATAAAATGACAGCTTTAACTTTGATCAAACATAAGAATTAATTGACGTTTGTGCGTTTATAGACGTTGACTTAAGAGTTTCAATTACTTATTTTATCCCCTGTCAAGTTTGTTCACCTTATTAAACTAGTGTAGTGATAGTTTTTGGATATTATGATACTTTTTTCATAAGCCTTCCGTGTAAATTGTAAAGGTAAAAATCGCATACGATCGAAATACGATCAGCGTTTTTTGAAATCACAACGTATTCCATGATACTGTTTGTATGCCAGTACCTATCAATATCAAAAAACAATATATATATATATATATATATATATATATAGTGTTTGGTCCATAACAATGACCTTCTAAGGTCCAGAACTAAAAAACAGTTAACTTGCTATAAATAACATCGTAAAATAGTACATTACCTACAGCAGCGGCCATCAGAGGCACTGATGGAGGAACGTTTCAACTCGACATACATACGTAAGACCACTAATGCCTAGTTTAGCTAAGCCCATTTCAAAAGGAAGAGAGCACAATAGAAAAAGAGGGTGAGGCGGAGAAAATTTTAAGTGGCAAAATTTTAAGTAATTTACAAATCTAAAACTTTTGTGGTTACGTTTTTTTTACATAAGCTAAACATAGCATAGAAAAATCAAAATAAACGGCATTTAAAAACATTAAACTGTGAAACTTTTTCTTATTTATGTAGGTATATTGTTTTGTATACCATCAGAGAGAAGAGGTCCAATCAAATTCCAGTTCTAAGCGATGCGGTAAATTAAGAGCATTTTTTACTCTTTTTTCTTATTCTCTTCCTTTTTTTGAAGTACCTATGTTTCACCCTGTTCAAAAATTATACCACTTTTACCTTTTTAAAAGCTTTTAAATAAAATATGAGAGGAAAATACCACATAGAAGTCAATATATATATAACAAAGAACACATTGTTACAGAAATAAGGGTCACCAAAAAAGGCTAAAGAAATTCATAAACGCTCCATGTGAAAGTTTACCAGAAAACCAGTCGTGAGAGGACATTACGTAAATTCGTAAATATTTGGCAATTATGAGAGGCCTGTGACATGACGGTTAAAAATACAACCTTGCTAATAAAGGGAAGAAAATACAATGTTGTTGAGAGAAGGACTGTAGGCAAATATAGTTATATAACCAGAGAACCAGGATCGGATTTAAGACAGGCCAGGCTGGGCTGTGGCCCAGGGCCATCACAACAGAAAAAAAAATAACAAGTTCGACGGGCCACCGACCAAGGGGGAGGGGTCCAAATTAGAGTTGTTCATATTTATAAACCGTTAAATTAAACTAAAAATAAGTTAACACATATATTCGATAATTATTTTCAACCATCTCTACCTATCAAATAAAATATTCATTCAATTCATGTTGATTTTAATTCGGGAGTAATATTAATTCGTATAGATAAATGTAACCGACTGATAAAATTATTCTAAATCGTAATGAATAAATTCAATCACCGGTCGAACTAATAAAAATATTGACAATAAATCAACTTGTTAAATATATTGAAATTGTATATTTGAATAAAAATATCAACTGATATTTTTAACCATTAAAATTATCTGATATTTTTATTCAACCATTAACTTTTAACTAATCATTTTTTTCAAACATTCACGCCACCTCATGTACAAATCATATGTCATTCATATGTGGTCAAGGGGTCCAGATTTGAAATTAGAGGCCACCTTCGTTGCTCCAAGCACTTCCAAATTTCTATTCTGTGTACCTAATCTGAATGGGATGATTGCAAAGAAACGACACGTAGCTATTATCCTTACTAATATTATAAATGTGACAGTTGTGTCTGTGATCTCTTTAAGCTTTAGCCGCTGAACCTATTTAGATGAAATTCGGTAGATATAGTTTAAGTCCAACACACACACATTACACACTTCTGTTTGCTACTTTACTGATGTAAAATATCGACCGTGCACTATTGATCTGAATTCTTTGTCAAAAAGACATTGCTTAATTAAGCTTAATATGCATTAATGGATGATTTCATTCATTTGATGATGATGATTTGATTAAAGTGAAACACTTAACTTTTTAATGATAAGGTTCAAATTGAACCGATTGGTCTTGTTAATTTATGAATGAAGAAAGCCTGCCATGCTTCTTTCGTAATACATTGTTTCAAATGTCACACACGTACTTATACATTTTAGTTACCTACATTGTCACTCTGTTTATATCGCGACAGTGGGTGACGCGTCTACAAAGAAATAGAAATCGGTCTACCATCACGTTGAAAATAAAAATATCGCCTAGAAAATTGTGAGTTCTGGTACTTAATATTATTAGCTTATCTTAGAAATTATTTTTGGAAATTTAACAAGAGTTGTGATTGAAGTTTAAACTGTTTTGTTTTTTAAAGTAAAGTGATATTGTGATAGATGAGATGTGTGATGATATAATTGGTTCATTTCAATTTTTAAAACTAATCAACTACTAATATACCTATAAAGAATAGTGGTTATAGTAAATACTTATAATTTTTATTTTGATTTCAAGTATTCTTATGGTTAACAGTTGTGATGTGTGGTCTGTAATGGTCAATTTAAACTCAGAGCGCAGAGCCGAAGCAAATTTCAGAAACAGCAAATTCACCCTCATCTCCGCAAAGTAATGCACATATTCATTCTGAGCTCGCAGATAATGGTGAATTCGCTTTTGTTAAGTACAATACATATAAATTGACCATTATTAAACAAAAATCAAAGTGTCTGTGTCTACAAAACACTTACACACGTAATTATGAAATTACTTATTTTCTGACTACCCCTATTCATAAGCAGGTCATTCTTTAGGATCGAGAAGCTTGCAATATAGACACTTAATGCATTTGACACGTATTGAATTCATTTATTGTTGCTTGACTATGTTTATGTAAGTATTGTATTTTGTTATTTTTATTCAGGAGGCACACACTGACGACCTTTTATTTTATGTTTTTTCCTTTCGCGGGCCTGCTGGAAGAAATTTCAATATGAAATAAGCATTGCCCTTGTACAAATTTCTTGTTCCTGTTCTTATCTATTTTATTGTGTGTGTACTAAATTAGTAAATAAATAAATAAAAATATGTTTAATATAAATAACATAAGCCTGGTCACCACAAACATTAGCTAGTTTAGGAAAAAAATGTATTTTATTTTTCTTATAAGTACTTGTGTTGAACACATTTCTAACATCTTTTGGTAATTAGGTACAAGTTTAATTCAAACCAATGGTTTTTGTCCACAGATATGATAGTAGCGGAGTCGTGGCAAGCCCGTTTCCTTCTGTGGGTCCTCCCGATTTTGGTAATCATCGGTCTGTTGGCCATACTGAGCTTCATCGGACTACTGTTCGCTATAAGGATCTACGCCAGCTACACTTGCGGACGGTTCAGGGACAGAACTAAGATGGACGGCAAGACGGTTATAGTCACCGGATGTACCAGCGGCATAGGCAAGGAGACGGCTAAGGAGCTGGCAAAGAGGGGAGCTAAAGTCATCTTGGCCTGTCGGAATATAGAAGCCGCTGATAATATCAAAAGTATGTATATTGACGTCTGCTTTGTGGTTAAAGTTCAAAATTTAGTGTCAGTTTTTAAATGACCTACTGTGACTGTGTTAGTTAATTTCGGATGGCCATTTTTTTTTATAATTACAATAAAATCCTAATTAACTAAAAACTTTCTTTATTTGCGGTAACAAAATAGAACAAACGTTTGCTTTTTGATGTTTTGTCTATATTTTGAAATTTACTTTTTATGCGGTTATGAACGGAGTAGTTACGGTACCCAATTATTTTGATTTCCTACGACAAATCATCGATTCTGAATTTTAATCATAGCACATAGATTACAAAAAAATATATAAAACAAATTAAATAGTTTTGAATGGTCTAACGAAATTTTATATTTTTAAAATCAATAAGTAACCGAAAACACTTATTTTCCAGATGAAATCATCGAATCAACGAAGAACGTGAAGGTGTTCGTCAAACAACTTGACCTAAGCTCGTTTAAATCCATCAGAGTGTTTGCAGAAGAAATCAAGAGCACAGAAGACAAACTGGACGTGCTCGTCCACAACGCCGGCTATGCGGAGATGTTCAGGAAGAAGAAGTCGGAAGACGACATCGAACTAACTATGGCGACGAACCACTACGGCCCATTCCTGCTGACCCATCTCCTTATAGATCTACTAAAGAAAAGCGCACCTTCCAGAATCGTCGTCGTCGCATCCTCCTTGTATCGCTTGGCGTCTGTTAATTTAGAAAACCCCAATCCAGTCGACACTTTCCCAGCATATTTATACTACGTCTCCAAGGAGGCTAATATACTGTTCACTAGAGAATTGGCGCGAAGACTAGAAGGCACCGGTGTTACGGCTAACTGCCTGCACCCTGGACTCATCGACAGCGGCATTTGGCGGAACGTACCAGCGCCTATTAGTTGGTTCCTGCTTCTCATTATCAAGTGCTTCTTCAAAACCCCGAGGGAAGGATGTCAAACGACAGTCATGTTGGCGGTCGACGAGAAATTGGAAAAAGTAAGCGGGAAATACTTCTCGGATTGCGGCGAAAGCTCCGTGTCAAATCTGGCCGGTGACATGGGCAGAGCTAAGAAGTTGTGGGAGTTATCAGAGACGATGGTAAAATTGGGCGAGACCGATCCGAAGATATAAGTCCGAAGCAGCAGCTTTACAAACATAATAATATATTTTTTGCATATTATAGGTATTTGGTTTAAAAGTGATTCTTCTTAGTCTCTCTTTTTTCAAAATCAGTCAAAAATCTAATACAAACACATTACGTGTAATTTGAGTACTACAGCGGAATTATTTAGACACCGTATAAATAGCAGCGACTCTAAGGCAAGTCATTTGGGGGAAGACTGTCCATACATTCCAAACAGATAGCAAATATGGATACTTTTAAAAATTTCGTCTTAAGAAATAGAATATTCCTTTGTCAAAAGATTCAGTTTTATGCCCATTACCAGCTAGGTCCATAAACTTTTGATGCAAACATGATCTTATAGAATACATCCTTAATCCTTGATTTATATACTAAAATGATGTAGGTATTACTTTTCCATGTTCAAGCAGTTTTTTTTACTTTTAAATGTAGTAGGTATTAAGGTTATTTATGTATAAATTTTTATATTTAATTTTAAATAAATTAATTGTGTTACTTGCTGGTTTTATTAATAAATGCCAATTGAAAAAATTAAAATACTCGACCGCTAAAAAATAAAGTACTTTTAATAAAAACTGAAAAGAAAAAAAACAGAAGTTCAGTGCAGTGCATAATTCTGTTAAGAAAAAGAGCTAATTTAAAACTTTAACCCATTAGATATTCCAGAATGGATCAAATCTTTCCAATACTTAAGGTACCTGGGTCGAATATGGCTATCTTAAGGTTTGGTATTCTTTTTTAATAATAATAAAGCTAAAACAAGAAAGTTTTAGCACTCATATATAAATAGTGGTTATTTATCTTTACAAAAAAGGCAAAAAAATGTAAAGACTTCTAATGATAAAAAAGTATTTTCAACATTTTTAAAAATATAGAAATTGGCCATATTTCCGACGGGGGAGGTAAATATGCCCATACATGTGGCCATATTTACTGTATGAGTTAGCTAGTTTAAAAATCTTCTAAATAAAATGAAATAAAAATAGTTATCATATTTTAATAGAAAATTTATTTAAAAGATATTCTTTGGGCGATATTCAGTACAAATAAAGAACCATGTTTACAAGAAATATAATGAAAGATAAAATCAACAATGAGATTCAACAAGATATTCTAAACTTTAAACTTGAAATCCTTAAAAAACTGTAGGTACTTCAAATCAACAAAATTATCAAAAATAAAACGTAAACTTCGCGATCCTTGATAGATAAATCACAATGATATGTTAAACTAGAAAAAAGTAGGCGAATCTAATAAAATAAATATTTTAATTAGTCCTGACTGCATCGAGTGCAAACAAATTTATTCATTCATTGATGCTTCTGACCAATTACCTCTAATCCCTTTAGATTTATAGCGTGCCATGATCTAAAACAAAAAAAAGGGTTACTACTTACTTAGTACCGGAAATATGGCCACGCGGTGGCCATATTTGCAGTCATGCATTTTTTACGTTTGCATATTCACGAATGAAAAACTCACTATTACTTTGGTAATTAAACAAAGAAATATCAAATTACAATCGTCACACAAATCATATTGTGATTTACAACGATTTTTAAATCAAAACTAATAAAATACAGGACAATACTTACTTGATGTTTTTATAACCTCACAACACGTTTCCATTTAATGAACACTGGGCGACTAGCGGGCGCGCGGGAGGACTGACAGGTACGCCGTTTGAATACATGCTACACTAGCAACAATTTATGATCGCGTTCAGGTTATTACAATATTTTGTATTTGAAATAATGGCATGTGGCCATATTTTTCGGCTGGCCATATTCGACCCAGGTACCTTACCTAATGGGTCCAGAGTGTTAAAGTAGCTTTGATTATAGACTACTGTACTTGCTTTATCTTTTCAGTATTTATTTGAAGTAATATCTAAGCAGCCGGGTTTATTGATTTTTTAAATTTACCTTTTCTTTACAATCGGACAATGATCTGATAAGAAATAAATTCAATTTCTCATCAACGGATCAATAAGTGTTGTAGGAACATTTGAGTGTTCTGCTCTTCAGAGTGACCGGAGTGAACCATATGCTGTTTATGGTTAATTTGAGTAAGGTAAGACTTAAAAATATTATTCATAGCGTTAGTTAGTGTTATTGAAAAAAATATATACATTCTTAAATATCTAATGTTAAAGTAGCTTTCTTCCTTACTTAACAGAATTATATATAATATATATTTTAGGTATGTAACTGCTTGCACACACTTAACAGAATTATCTTCGACCAACAATTCTATAGATAACGGGTTGCATACAGAATCAAAGCTAATAAAAACTGACCGAGTATGTTTAATAAACTTATGCAGCTACATTCGATTCCCAATAAACAAAGATAAATGTTTTTTTAAAACAGTTTAAGTTGAACCTAATAACAGCTAACTCACAAAGGAATAAAGTTACAAATAAGAAAATGTTATATCGCACATACGACCTTTTATCTTATAAAACGAACTCTTGTTCCTTTTATAAATTATATCTGATACCTACTTGGAAAAAAACGATAAAGTTGAAAAAAAGGAAAATGAGAAATCCACCTTATGACTCACAAAATAAAATTTTATTACCAGTCCTTGGCCAGCGAGTTACTTGGTTTTGTAATAACCGCACTAATTTAAAATATGATCTCACGACTCAAGTGAGGCTATATTTACAGAGACGGATTCTACGCGCTGACCCGTTACCTACAACTGTTTACGTTTCCACAATACATTTCCACACTTTATCACGGAGTGATAAAGCCGACGGCACTTCGCCCTCGGCCCTCCCACATTGGGGAGGAGCCGTCCGAGTCCGGCTGCTGCGGCGCACAGCCGGGGAGCGAGGAGCCTAAAATGCTCCTCGAAGCTCCACCGGGGATCCAGGGTCAGGCCAAGATACTTCATGTGCATCTCGACATGAACCCGGATCCCCTCAACCCGGACACGGAGCCCCGGTGGGGTCCTACATCTTGGGGCATGGAACGCCATGGCCCTCGTTTTATCGAGGGCCACCTCCAGCCCCAGGATGGAAAATGGGTACTAGAAAAGGGAAGTATAAGAACTTTAGTTTTATGGTCGTTTTAAAACCTACAATAATTGCTATTTTATTTTATAGCCAAAAGCAGCAGTGATGATGATGACTACTCCGACGGTTTGGAGAGATGAGCGGAATTAAAGAGCTAAATTCTGAATAATGTTTTATTTTTTACTCAGTCTAATATTTATTTACTGGAACCCTACTCGGGGTGCTGGAGCACCCCACAAGCTTTTGTTTTTAAATTCATTTCGCAGGTTTATATTGTACAGATTTGATTTCCTTCGTATTGTACCTTGAGGTCACGCGCTATAGATTGGCCAGTGACGCGGCGACAGCCGGACATCATAGACACGTGGACGTGTGTTGTGGCAACTTGTGGGGTGCCCCAGCACCCCAGTGTAGAACAATGTATTTTTTTTTATATTTAATTTTTATTTTGTGTAACTTATTGCAATTGTAAAACTACTGTGGTTAATGAAATGTTTATGATTTAAATAATTGATTATTGAGTCCAAAAGGCCCAGATGAACGTTAACTTTCGCGTTTACATAATTTAAAACGCCTACATGAAAATGGTAAATCCATCTCGAAAAATGTGTTTGCGAGACACTGGTAGGACACCTACACGTCAAGGTACCACACACTGTCAAAGGACATTGGGCAAAAATGTATGTACGCTGCACCCACGTCCGCCACGGCTCAAACTACATTTGTTTGAAAGATATTATAGTCATGATCATCTGTGCTTTGGCATCAAATTCTATCCCGGGAGTCTTAAGTTATTTTAAGTTAAATAGGTACAAGTACTATAACGAACGAACATTAATGAAACAAGGGAATTAATTTCGTTAGTTAATTCGACACTACATAGGGGGCTCAGATATTATGGGAGTACTTCACAAGGTTCAAGGGTGCCCCCTTATGTTATTCTGCAGCATTAGAGTAAACCCAAAAAACCCCGCATGGGTTGGGATTTTGTCAAATTTTATTTATTTATTCAGAAAACCAACAGCGTAACAAAAAAATTTTTTTTTACATACTTTCTAATACTAAGGCTAATAATAGGTTTTCTATGAAATTTACAATTGTACTAAGACGTGGGAAGACATGATCTATTGCTTATTAGCTAATACTAGTTTTATTGTGTATGATGGAGAACCAAGTACATAGTCCCTCATCACCAACTGCTCCCGGCGACCCGAGTCTTTGTTAATAGAATGAATGTAGTATAATTTTTGCCGTAATAGCATACCGAACGTATTAACTGAAATACTGCAAAACTCGCTGTTTAAATGTGTGTTTCGATATCCCGAAAAGTTCAAGTTCGTTAAATTTAGTATTATATGTACGTGCTATACGAATGAGGACATTGTTACTAGCATATCTAGTGGAGTATTTAGGTGTACACAGCAAGGGAGTATGGCGTGTGCGTCGCTTAGGAGTACAAAATCCGATACCCGCTACTAAATTCGCGCAGTCCAATTGCCCATTTAAGGTGTCGAACAGTAGGCACATGTCAAGCAATACCCGCCTCTCCTCTAAGCTCAAGAGGCCATGATGTTGACATCCACTATGATATGAATCAGGGGAAATACGTTGTCGATAGTTAAGATGTTTAATAAATTTTTTTTGGATTCTCTCTAGACGATCTTTGTGTATACTATATTGGGGTGACCAAATTTGACTAGCGTATTCTAATGTACTGCGAACATATGCACAGTAAATTGATTTAATGGCGGCCATGTCACTAAAGGATTTGCACGAACGCAGGACGAAGCCCAAGCTCTTGTAGGCCTTGTTAACAACGTGGTCTATATGAGGTGTTAAAGTCATCCTACTATCAAAAATAACTCCCAAATCTCTAATCTCCGTCACTCTTGCAATTGGGTTTTTATTGAGTGTATATTTGTAATGAATAGGCTTGCTTTTTCGTGTATATGAGATACACTGACACTTGCCTATATTGACAGTGATTTTGTTTTCCATGTAATACTTGCTAAGATTGTCTAGATCGGATTGTAGGGATTCGCAATCGCGAATATTTTTGATGCGAAGAAAAATTTTTTTGTCGTCTGCATATAACAAGTGTTCGGCATATTTTAAATGAACCCCAATGTCGTACAAGTAAGCGCTATAAAATAAAGGCCCTAGATGCGACCCCTGAGGCACGCCTGTTGGTATATCAATGAAGTTTGATCTATATCCACCCAAAACAACTGCCTGAGAGCGGTTTTCTAAATATGACTGTATCCAACGTAACAAGTCCCCGTGGATCCCCAGACTTTATAGTCGTCATCACAAGCTTTATAGCTTGTGAAGCAAGATGACGTGATCAACGCGATCGAAAGCCTTTTCGAAGTCCGTGTAGATCACGTCTACCTGTCCGCCGCTGTCCATATTCATCAAAGT